AACCCTCGGCGCCGCAGGAGGCGGAGGACAACAGTACGTCCCGGGCCGGCGCAGGGGAGGGCCCTGGGCGGGTGTGTGTCCACCAGCACGACCACCCGTTCCTTTCAGCGCCGGTCTGCACACTCCAGGGCCTTGTCAGATGTCTCTGGCCGTCTTCTTACCTCCAGACTTTGACTTTCCTTTCTCCAGCTGTGGCAGGAGAGAGCTGGGATTCCTACATCTGCAAGAATTTCTGTCTTTACTTTATCCTATTCTCATTTTCTACCCTAGCCTACCCTACTAATCTCCCTTTCGCCCACGTGCTGGAAGCAATCTTTTTGTAGTCACTTTCACTTTTCCCTCTCCAGAGAAAGCCCTCTTACACACTCCTCTAACAGGCCCACCCCCATTCCTTTGTAGTTCTTTCTTCCCTTTTGATTTCTTGCTCATTCACACATTAGTGCCCATTTGAAGGCACCTTAGGTGTCACTGCTCACAGATAGGAACTGGTTGGAGTCCCAAATTTGCAGCACCAAAAAGGCCACATACTACACTTCTTTGGACCACAGGACCCTCATTTCTCGAAAGGAGATTATGCTAGCCCTGCCAATGAGACAGGTGTGAAAGAACCCTTTAAAGAGATTAAACTGATGTAAATGGTGACATTTATCATTGCAGCACCTTCCTAGAGTGTGTTAAGAGAGAGCCCTGTGACTCAAGGACATTCCCAGCCTTGCTTCTGTCCACATTTAGTTATGTGATGAGACATGCCAATAAGAGGTCTGCAGGATACAGTATGTTAACAAATAGTTAAGGATTTGTGTATTTCCTGAAAGGGAAATTACCTTCTCCCATAATCCTTGGCTCTAGTCTAATAGGAAACAGTATAGATATCAATTCATTATAAATTTAACTACAAGCGACTCCTGTTCACAAGTTTAATATTCTCTGCAAAGAATGAAAGTGATTAATACTGTGCCCAGCCTTGAGCCCAGGCCACATCTTTGAACGCCTAGCAGAAACTATGAGAATGCAGGGGAAAGCTAAATTATGTCCTAGCTGTTGCAACAGATGGATGTTTGGGTGTACGAACAAGTCTGTGGGCATGGGGATCCCAGACTTGTGCACAGACTCAATTTCTTGACTATGAGAGCAGTTTATCCACCTGCTAGTCAAGCTAAGCAGACCCAGGTGTGTCATGGCACTGCAGTGGTGCTGTAACTATGCTGGTAATGTCAAACAGTATTACTGTCATACTCACTGCTGAGATGCTTAAAGACAACATCTTTACATATACTGGGATTTACCCAGAGTTCCCCACCCATGATGGTATCAATCCCTGTTTAACATATCATTGTTTACAATTTACAAAACCATCGTGTTTGTTATCTTGTGTGAGGCTAAGTCTGAGTTAAGCAAGGAAGGCTTTAGTGATCCTATATTATGATGATGAAGAAATAGAGGTTTTTGAGTAGTTGCCCAAGATCCCACGGGTAAACATTCTCAGCTGGGATTAGGATCCTGCTGTCCTAATTCCTAATCCAGGACTGGGAACCTCTTACATTTTACTGTCTGCATTATTTAAATGCTTCATTTAGATGACATCTTTCTAATCCTTACCTTTAAGTTGCTAATGTTTAACTTCCCCTAAATTTTGAGAGCAGTCCCTGTTTGTACCCTTTTCTTCAGCCCACACTTTTAATTTCCTCTGTTTCTTTTCTTGGTCTCAGTGAAATTATTGCCAGTGGACTGTGAGAGGAAAACAGATGAGGTGAGTGTGAGTTTCTCTAGCCTTTGTAATTCCTCCCAAGGATGTTAGCCTCCATTAGGAGATAAACTTGCCCAGAAAAAAGATCATAATAGGATCATTTTCAGAAGTGCTTCCTGTAATGTACTAGAATCATATCATGTTCTGTGATGTTTGTGTCAGGCTCAATTGTGGCAGTGAAGGAGTACTTGAAACAGAATTGAGCTCCCAAGATCCAACCCTGGGCATATTACAGGAGCTCTCCCATCAGTCACAGCATTGAGGACTTTGATCTTCTGCCTAAGTCGGTCTGGGGGGATGCAGTAGGTTGTGGTTGAAGGACCTCTCCAGCTCCCTGGGTTCAGGAGGAAGGGCTGACCACTTTTTAAGCATCAGGAGGCCAGGTTCTCCATTCTGCATTCTCCAGTAGTATATCTGTGGCTCTGAAAATGCTGTTCTGGTTTGAAACGTCATTGAGGGGGTTGTTTTAAAGACATCTGAAGTGGAGTTAGCCCTCTTAGTCTGTAGATTTTTTTATGAAGCTTTAATGTTTCGTACAAATAATATTTGGAGAAGGTGAGCAGCCCCGTCCATTTACGAGTCATGAAAACAGCATTAGTGAGGAGCTGGGATGCTGGTACGGTTGGTATTTTGGGGAAGAGACGGGGCCATAAATTTTCAGGTTATAAATCCTACCAGGAGGAGCCTTGTGCTGCCAGAGGGCATGACTTAGTAGTCTAATTATTACGTGTGCGATGCCAGGCCTCCCTGAACCCTCAGTGCACATCTCTAGGAGCCTGGGGGCTGGGAGAGAAACCACACATAGTCATTCCTACACCCCTGCGTTGACTCTCTTACCTGCGTTAATGACGGGGCATCCTGATTCAACCAGTTTTATTTCTCTATGGCTCTTGCCATGTCATATTTGAGGGTGTTTTTATTACATTTATTTATTGCATTCATCCACCAGATATCTTTGCTTCCCTATTGTTTTGTTAAAATAGATTCATAGTAAGTATACTCTGCTGCCTATCATAAAAGCTACAGTTGACGATTAAAGGAAGTGGCCCAGAAACATAGCCAGAAGGGGAAATGAGAATTTTGAAGGCTGAAAACAAAACGAGGAAAAAATTAACTTTTCTGTAAGGCTTCTCTGGTGATGTTAGTTTGTTTGTCTTTTACTTAGAAACGGATTCCCTGGTTTCTATTTCTTGGTCCATCATGCCTCTAAATGTATCAGACCCACGACTGAATGACAGGTTTGCTCCTTGGCCCTCCTCTGAGCCGAACGCGCTCACGCCCCACTTGAGTGAGCCCACAGGCACCATGCAGGTCCTTGCTAAAGACATGCTTAGTGAGCTGACAGCATGCTTGTAACTTCAGAGCACAGAAAGGCAGGGTCTGGGCCGCGTCATCTCAGGCTCCCATCAGTTGCTGTGTTGGGCTTGGTTGAGCTGAGATTTCGTGGGGTGCCTTTGGCCTTCAGGGAGGTGGGGCACTTCTTGGTTTTGGTGAGGCTCTTGCTGAAAGTCTCATTCTTTGGGTGGCCCAGGCTCACCCAGAACCCAGAGGGGTATTTGAGTTTCAGATATACGTGTTCTTTCCCTTCTCAGCCAACTATGATACTGTTTTTCTTTCTGCCTTTGTGCTACTGAAACCATGGGGATAAGCTGGGAGTGGGTGTGTTGTCTTAATCAGGCTGTCTCGTCGTCTGGTACCTTCTGTCCTTTAGGTGGTATCAGCCCTGCTTTGCCAAAATGTCTGTGAGTTTGGAACACTGTTAATTGTTACTGCTTTTTTTTGTGTTTGTGACAATGATAGATGTTGAATGTAGAAGATTTGAAAAATGTGACAAAAGTCACCAATGATTCTACCACATAGAGATAATCACTACTAACGTTTTGGGAACATTTCCTTCCCACTTTATCTCTCTATGTGTGTCTGTAGAATGGGGTGAGATCTCTGTATATTTAGTTACATTTAACACTTAATTTTCAACTTTTCCCATATTGTTAAATATTTTTAAAGTAGTTGGGGTTTCTAACTCTACTAGTGAGTTGTTTCCGAACATTTCTAGTCATGTGCGTAAATCTTGGTTACATCATTTAGTGCCTTGTCAAGGCTTAAGGTCTTTAGGCACTATGAGGGGACACACCTTGGTCTCTGAGACTGTTAGAAACCAAATCGGATCATGGCAACAAGTAAGCCCCGAGAAGCAAGGCAACTTTGGTTCCTTCTGTAGTCGTGGATCCAGGTCCAGAACCCAGACTTTCACCTTCTGGTCCAGGGCTCCACCTGGTGACAATCCAGAGGAGGCCCGGAGGTGGAGGTGAGGTGGGCTTGGAGTCGGCTGGCCAGACGCGATATGGCTCCACCACTTATGAGCTGAGGGATCTTGGTGGCCTACTAAGCTCTCTAAACCTTGGGCTCCTTGCCTGGGAAATAGGGGTGCAGTGAGGATTCAGTGCTCACTCATGTGTAGACCACTCAGCACAGCCTCCGGCCTGTCGGCCACTCAAGGAAAAGCAGCCTTTTTATAATGTTCTAAATCCAGAAAGTCTAGCAAAATGGTGTTATCCTATTACAGGTGCTAGCGGAGTAGGTTTACAGATACTCCTGTTTTCACATGCAGATTACGTCTTTCTCCCTCCAGTTTGCTTGAAATTTTCCATTTCTAGGGCAGTCCAGTCTAAGATGAAACATTTACAGCAGATAATCTGCAAAGTAGGCAGTCCATAGGAAGGTGGTAGACACCTGACTCCAAAAACAGATGGGGGGCCCACGGCAGAGGCAAGACCGCGTTGTGCAGCACCTGCTCTTCCCTCTGAGGAGGCTGGGCTTCTGCGTTTTCCCACAGCCACGTTGCCTCTGCTCCACAGCCCCAGTGAATGGCCTTTATTCTGGCGGGAACCACAGGGCAGAGGCCTGGGAGCCTCCAGGGGGACAGACTGCTTTCAGTCTGCCTCACTTTTACGGTGTTCTTTCAGTCAGTTACCCTGGTATTTATCGACCCTATCCCTGGGCCCAGCACCACTTGGCAGAATTTGTTGGTGTTTTTTCCTTAAAGTATGAGGTATGACTTGCTGCTTAATACTGGATGGTGAAGGGGTAAGACCAGACAGACAGCCCCCCTCACGCACCCCTCCTTGCTGACTGCTGTCCTGTGCCCTTTCAGTTCTGTCAGGCCAAGCAGAAGGCGGCCTTACTGGAGCTGCTGCACGAACTGTACAACTTCCTGGCCATCCAAGCTGGTGAGTAGGTCTCATGAGGCTTGGGATTCCGTGTGCACAGGTTGTGGGCCGAGGCTGGCAGTGGGAAGCCGAGACGCTCTGTGGTCGTCTCCCAGAAGACACACTCAGAAACCAAGTCTCACCTTCCCTGCTTCCCCACTCAAGACACATCCTTTTTAAGTCTTGTGTCTGGGCAAAACACATTTGGTTCTGTGAGGGTCCCAGAGGTCCTGGCACATGCATGGGCCTTTCAGCAGATGCTCTCCCTTCTCTGGGATGCCCCCCAGCTAATATTTTGGGGGTCCATGTTGCATTGGAAGGGGCCAGGCTCCAGGTCTTCTCAATCTGGTTCCTCCAACCTGGAGGGCCTCCCTACACCAAGTGGTCAGCCAAGCTAGGTGGAGAGGCCTGTGCAGGGGGCAGGCGTTCTGAGGGGTAGGCCGAGGACACTTAGGCCTGTCCAGCCCGCCAGGGTCCTGGTGTCTCCATCTGGCTGTGGGATGTCAGATAAATCTCTGATATCTTAGAGCCTTGGTCTCTCCATTTGACTGAGTCATCTTGGGTCTGTCTTTTCTTGACAAAATGAAAGTCAAGTGCTGTTCTCTAGAGGAGAGCATTCCCAACACCCTCATGAAACCCCCTCTGAAAACTCCTCCATCCAGGAGGCTCCCTCCCCCCTGTTTTATTTGGTAAACTCATTCCTTGAGGCCAGAGTTGACACCTGAATTATACTGTGTCCTCCCCGACACCTGGTGTCAAGGAGGCTCTCAAAATCACTGATGACATAGGTGAGTGCTCAGGGCTTGTGCCTGTGTTAAATATATTTGGCACAAGAACCAGATGGAGCTGTTAGGTCTGTGGGATGTTCAGGAGGTGCCTCTCCCATGCAGGGCCAACCCTTGTCTAAGGTTGTCACTGGCAAATCAAGGTTGGGTGGACTTAGACTGGACCCTCAGTTCTCAGGGCCAATCTTGTGGGCCTCAGCTCTGCCTCCTCTTTCCTCCTGACTGGTGGGAGGCTGAAGGTGGTCAGGGAGGCATCTGAGAGATGTAGGAGTTGGGGCTTACAGCATCACAGTCATCGCGGGCATTTCTCTTATGGCTCAGGTGCTTGGGATATACATTCTGGCCTAAGGGGGTGTTCTAAACCTTTGTGATTCAATTGTGGTCCAAGGACCAGCAGCATCCATGTCACCTGGAAGCCTGTTGGAAATACAGAATCTCAAGTCCCATCCCAAACCACAGCTAGGGCCTTTTCAGAGGGAGTGGCCTTGGGCCAGGCCTGGAGACCTGGGCAGTACTCGGGGAGAGGCTCCCAGCTCCAACCTAGCGGGGAGCCAACGACCAGGGCGCTCAGAAGGGAGCTTTGGAGCACCACGCCAGGGCCCCACTGCCCAGCACAGAGACCCATCCTCCGGGGGGCATTTTGGACATCCTCCCCAGGGCCCTGCAAAACTATCGGCCTGGTGTTCCAGGTCACCTGCCAGCCCATGTTGTGAGTCGGAGTCCCTGCAATGCCGTGGTCTCTCTGCTTTCTCTTTCCTGGGCTGTGTTTATTTATAGTGTCGCCCCAGTACCTTCCAAAGCTGTCTGTCTGATCCTTTTAGGGATCAACTGCAAACAGACCTTGGTATTGGGCCGCTTTTTAGTCATTTAATGCAAATCACCACACCGCTTTGCAGGTCAGGTTTTAATGATCTGGAATCGATCCAAGCTAAGAGGCTTTTGATCTCACTGCAGAGTGAAGATGCCCCACAGAAGCCGAGCCGCTGGGCCACACGCTCCCCATCAGAGCTGATGGCTTGATTCTCGCTGCAGTTTTTAGTCTGTTTCAGGGTAAATTTTTTTCACCTCTTCTTTGTATTTCAGTGTGTGTTTTTTTCCTCCTAGGTAATTTTGAATGTGGAAATCCAGAGAAGCTAAAAAGCAAATGCATCCCTGTAATGGAAGCCCAGGAATATATAGCAGTAAGTAGGCTGCAGTGCATATCCATTCCGGGGAGGTCCTGGTGCTTTTGTATTGATCTTTCAGGTCCTGCATTTTTTTCCCTTTCCATTTTGTGTTTGCTTTTTGGCTTGTTTGCTTTCCTTTTTTAAAAAAAAAAAACTTTGTTTTTTTTAACTCAGTTGAGTGTTAGGCTACTTTAAGTGAAGGCAGGCGCCGAGGTAGGGGTGACTGGGAGCCAGAGCCGGGCCTGCCGGGCAGCTCACTCCTGACCTGCTGCTCACTCCTGACCTGCTGCTCCTGGACCAGCTGGCCTGGGCTGTGGCTGCTGCCCTTTCCTTAAATGGCCCTGTGACTTGCTCCTCCTTAGCTCACTTTTGCCCCTCCCCCCAAGTCTCAGCAGCTTTAAGACGTTTAACCTGCCATTCTCTCCCCTCAGGATGACCTCTGGGTCACTCAAGGTCCGTTTTGATCCTCCGTGTGGCCACAGGATGATAGAATTATAGATCTTAGGAACTAGCAGAAACCGTAGGGACCACCTAGTCCAATTTTCATTTCACAGATAAGGAAATTGAGGCCCAGAGAGGGGCAGGAATTTGCCCAAGGCCACACAGCTGGGACTGGCCTTTGGCCCCCTCCAACGCATGCACTTTTCCGTCTTAACAGCTGCCGGCTATTTCACTTAGTGCCACAGTCCTTGAGAAAATTACATTCTTTCAGCTGTTTCAGACCTGCGTTGTTTTCCTGTGTGTGCTTCCGCATCACCTCCTCTGGTTACAGCCTGTTCGCTGGCTCTCATCAGCCCCAGATTTCCTTCCTGCCAGTTTGCTGTGCATTTAGTGGAGCAGGGCTTTGGGGCATGCGAAAGATACAGAGAGGGCTCCCTTAATCCAGCAGCGGAAGAATGTTGCTCCAGCCGCTCCTCCCAGATGCAGAACTAATCTTCTCCCTCCCCCTCCCACAGAATGTGACCAGCAACTCCTCCGCCAAGTTTGTAGCCGCCCTGACCTGGATACTGAGCAGTAACAAGGACGTGGGCATCTGGTGAGTATAGGTGGGGTGTCCTTAGGCGCCCGCGACCACATCCTCACCCATCAGCTGTCTCTTGCGCTCCAACAGAGGTGTCTCAGGCCTGAAGTTAGAGGGCAGGTCTCCCAGTGGGGTTGTTGGTGAGCTTGGCATGAAGCTGGGCAGCAGAAGGAGAAGCATTAGGAATGCAGACTAAGGAGCAGTTCTAAGATGAGACACGAAAACCCAGGTACTGGGACGTTCACCTCGTGTTCCGGCTAAACCTGTCTTAAGGAACTCAGTCTGTGCCCCTTTAACTCACTGGTCCCTCATAGTTTGCTGGAGAAGGCATTTTTCTGTACTTTCTTCTCTTGGTGCTAGTTTTCATTTGTAGATGAAATGATTCTGTATGTTGGATTTACTCAGTATGGAAATTGTAAAAAGAAAGACTGGATTTTATTCCAACTGGGCAGTTCTGCCTTGTTTCTATCTCTGGCGAGTACCCGTTAACTGAGATAGTAAGCCCTTCACCTTCCTGAAAGGCCCCATCTGGCTGCTGATCCCAGGGGTTTGGGAGGTACCAGCCACTAGGCAGACACCAAGAATCCCCTGCTGGAGAGACACTCGCCTCATCACCCCCTCCCACTCGGGGTTTGTTAGGGCCTCTGTTCAGGTTACAGCTCCTGATATTAAAGCACACTCTAGGGTTTTGTTCTCTTCCTCTCTAATCCACCCAAATTACTAATTCCTCAGCACTGCATCCAGCAGAAGCCCCCCAGGCAACTCAGCCAAAAGCTTGATGACTAGATGCATGGCAGGATTAAAATTCGTTGGCTTAAAAAAAAATTAAGCTTCTCTGAGTGGCTGAGTGATTTTCCCATGTGTTAGAAAAGGCAGAGAACACACATTTTATCCTCAGCAGCGCTGAAGCTGCTAACACAGACGAATGATGACACTGCCTTTTCACGTTGGGGAGGGCAGCCTGGGGGTGGGGGGCTGAGCCCAGCTCCCATGACCAGTGTTAAAAGTGGGTCGTGAGAAATCGGGGCAGTCCAGAGCAGGAGCTTGTCACCTCACAAAGGAGATGCGGGTGTTGGGGTCCCCACATGTCCTGATGCCACCCCGCTGGGGCCAGGGCAGAGGCGCTGTGGCTGAGGTCTGCCTCCAAGGGCCTGACGGTTTTCATTCTCCTGAGCCTTGTGGCACCCCATGGTCTCTACACTTAAACAGCTTATGTGCCTCCTCGTCACGGAGGAAAAGCACACCCTCCCAGACTTTCTGTCCTCGCCATGCCGTGCAAAGCTAGCGATTCAGTAAACATTTCCATTTCTCTGTCCTGGGAGGTGAGGATCCAATTTACAGTTTAATCTTCCACACGCTGAGAGGGTCTGTCAAAAACCCAACAGAGGGGGACGTCACTTTAGCAGTAGGGGTTCAAGCCTGCTGCCGTCTTTAAAGCTTTATTCTTTCTAAGTAGTCTACGTGGGAAATTTCTGGAAAGAGTGCAACCAGGATAGTCTTTTATAAGCAAGTGGAGGCCTCAAAGCCCCTCCTTCCTTCTCATCCTTCTTTTTAAAGTGAGGCTGATACCGTGGCTCCTCAGAGCTTTTGAGGGAGTTGACAGCCCCATGTCCTGTTTCAGGTTGAAAGGGGAAGACCCGTCTGAGTTGGTGACGACGGTGGACAAGGTGGTCTGCCTGGAATCCGCCCGCCCCCGCATGGGGGTGGGCTGCCGCCTGAGCCGTGCGCTGCTCACAGCTGTCACCAATGTGCTCATCTTCTTCTGGTGTAAGTCCTCCCGCCCTTTCACCCCTTCCCCTCACCACTGGGACAGCAGCTCGCACACAGCGCCTCCCGGGAGCCCAGCTCAGCACACTCCTGGGCATGAGTGATGAGTTATAGAAACCCTGGCCAGGAGCGTTCATTTCTGTCTAGTGCACCTGAGGTCTGCCTAATAAAATAGGAGATGAACAAGTCAGCCTCTGCCATGAGTTGTCTTTACCTTTGGAGATTGGGTACCTGGAGCGTGAAGATAACTAGAAAATGTCCTTGATTTGGGGCAGGGGACCATCAGCATCCCCAAGAGAGAGCCTGGCCTGGCCTGGAGGTGGGCATTGTCCTTTCCAGGACCACAGAGTGCCGGCTGCTCTGAGGGGGAGACACAGCAGGAGCTTGGCCTAATTTTACTCTCTGAACAATATAAGCATCTCCTCAGGAGCTACAGATGCCTGATGAAAGCAGGCAGGGCCCAGGGTGCTGAGCTGCAAAGGAGAGTGCAGGTCTTGTCTCCTGACCTCAGGGGCTGCCTTTGAGTGGAGACCTCGGGGTGTCTCTGAAGGCAGAAGGCTACGTCACAGAAAATGCAGGCTCTGCAGAGAGAGCCAGATTCCAAATCACAGGCCTTCTAGGCGTGCACACAGCTCCCTCACCCACCCCGGCCGGCACAGACATCATTATCGGCAGCTGCATCTCAGAATACAAAGAGCCTGCATGTATATATGTATGAAACGCTGGTTCTGGTTCACAAGGGAGGAGATGAAAGCCCCGGAATGAGGCTGGGAGGAGCTGAGATCCGGTGGCTGGGGGTGCCTCTGTGGTGACAGCCGGCGGGAGAAGGATGATCACTTAATAGGCTGTCCTCCCTTTGCATTTCCACATCCTTTGTTTCCTGCTTGCTAGCCCTGGTTCTGACACACAGTAGGTACCCAGGACACCCTCGGCCTCCAGCTCAGCAACTTGCCCTTGTGACAGCCAGTGAGCCCCTGAACGGCGAAGGTGAGGGAAGGAATTAACAGTGCTCTGTTCCCTCACAGGCTTGGCCTTTCTGTGGGGGCTCCTGATCCTCCTGAAATACCGGTGGCGGAAGTTGGAAGAGGAAGAGCAGGCCATGTATGAGATGGTGAAGAAGATCATAGGTGCGTGGCCCCTGGTGAGAGCGCTGCTGGCGCCCGCCGGAGGATCCTCACCCTAAACAGTGCCCTCTGTCCTGCAGACGTGGTCCAGGACCACTACGTGGACTGGGAGCAGGACATGGAGCGCTACCCATACGTGGGCATCCTGCACGTGCGTGACACCCTGATCCCTCCACAGAGCAGGTGAGTCCTGGGGCGGACCCCGCTGGGGAGGAGGCCTGGAGCCTTGAGTCAGTCCTGTGGGGAGGGGTCCAGCTCAGCCCCAGATCACAGGAGTTAGGGCACCATCCACACCTCCTGCTGCTCCTCAGCCATCAACTCACTATGGCAGAACATAGAGGCCCGAGGTACAGAAGCATGGTCCCACTCCTCTGTAGAGTTGGTAGACTGTTAGTGTTGATACTGATTGGGGTGCTTTGGGCAGCAAGTCCTAGACCCCTTGCCTCCCTGAGTGGCTCTGCACGAGTGCGAGTCCAGGCGCGGGCCAGCTGGGTCTCTGGTTCCATTTCTCTCTGACTCTCGCGGCCCTGCCCTCGGCGGGTGTTGTCAGCTGGCTGGAGTTCCTCGTGCTCACAAGATGGTGGCCAGCAGCTGGCTGCCTGTCATGCTAGCAGGGGAGAGACGGGTTTCCTTTCTCTCACAAGCGAGAGAAAACATCCCCAGAAGCCACCAGTGACACACTCTTTGAGGCTCTGCTGGCCAGAATTGGTTACTCATCTATTTTTGAATCAGTCACTGGCAAGGAGAAGGAGATTGTTTTTCAATCATTCTTTAACCACACCCATAGTCAGAAACACATCTTACTCAGCTGAGATACAATGTCCAGTCCCCACACACAAGTGCACACATGTGTCGTGGGAAACGGTTTCACAGCAGTGAATAGGGTTGGCTTCCAGGGGCACGGCCTGTGAGAGGCTGTTGTCATGCACGACTCCAGGACCACCTTCCACTTGGGCTGCAGATGCTGGATGGGTCCCTGACAAAACCAGGATCAGGTAGAGTTGGGGAGCAGGATCTCAGGGGTCAGCCAGCAGAGCCTACCACAATGTCGGCTCAGCCTTGGCTGTGGTCTCCAGCCAGATGCCATATTTTGCTCCAATGACACTAAGTACTCTTCCTTGCTGAACGCTCACTGTGACTGGGCACCACTCTGAGCCCTTCACAGGTGCAGGCTCACTCCCTCCAACCTCAGCAGGGCCCTGGGCAGCAGAACAGTGATTACCCCATTTTACAGATGAGGAAACTGAGGCACAGGGCAGTTAAGAAACTTGCTCAGAGACCCACAGCTGGTGCCACTGTGTTCCCAGTGCCAGGCTCTGTGTCAAAGTCACTCCTTTCTGTCAACCCAGGAGGAACTGGAAGAGTAGAGCATTTATGGGCCCCTTTTTAATGTAAAGTTGCTTAATAACTTTTGTGTCTAACCCACCCTCTGAGACAGTGGCAGGCATGGAGCTTAGAGCAGACTGACCATGGTGTGGAGCTTGTGCCAGCTGTGGCACCCAGAAGGGCACACAGCCCTCCAGCTCTCAGGGAGGCTACGTGGTAGATTCAGACTCCCGCCTCATTTCTGGCCCTGCCCAGAGTCGTCATCACGTGACCATGGGTCACAACCTGTCTGAGCTGTAAGCAGAGATAATACCACTGCCTTGCAGAGGGCTGCGGTGAAGAGAGGCTTTCATTCATTCATTTTCTCAACAAATGTTTATTGAGCGCCTACTGCATGCCACACTTCACTGGGTCATGGGGGAGACGGTAGGGAGAAGCAGAAGCAAAAACCCCTGCCCTGCTGGAGCACCGGTTCTATGGAAGAAGACAGAAGACAAGATGCATAAAGAAAATGCGTGCTATTAGATGGTGGCAAGTCCTAAGGAAAGGGGAGCAGGGTGTCAAAGGAGGTTGCCTCGCCCCTCCCTGAGTCAGCACGTCGCACTTGAACGCTCATCATAGGACCACACACAGAGGCACTTAAACTCGAGCAGGAAGTGGTGTTGCAGCTTGTCACTGGCCTGAGCCACACGCCTCAGCTCCTGTGCATCAGTGGAGACCGCAGGCAGGCAGCTGCCCCGCAGGGTCTGGGTTCCTGTTGGTCAACCCCGGGAGGCTCCTGCCTGGTCACCTTTCAGCCTCTTGATTCATCTCCCAAGCCACCCGGTCAGTGCAGCCCAGCTCCTGACTTGTAAAGACATTAGCTCCTGTCAGCCCTGTGTGGGTACACTCTGCCCTGTGGATGAGGGCCTGCTTGTCGTGGGAGATGGAGGGAGATCTGGAGAGCTTGCTCGGGGAGGCAGGCAGGGGTCTGATGAGAGCAGCTGGTTCGGGCAGGCTTGCTCATTACCTGGTAATGGGCAGCCTGGGAAGAGGGGCTGGGGGTGAGGCAACCAGTCCACAAACTGCTGGCTGCCTACCCCTCTGGGACCCAGTATGAGGGGCTCAGTCCCCAAGTGGGGACTGCTAAACAGCCGTGGGGTTTGGTTGGTGACACGACCTGACCCCCCAGGAAGAAAGCCCTGAGACCCCCACTCTGCCTCCTGACTCACTGGCCACCTCAGGAGCATCCCTCCCTTTGTGCTCCCCCGGGTGAATCTCCTGCTCCCACAGGCACGCACGCACTCTCTGCATATGGGGTCATGGGGCGGTGGTCTGCAGTGCAGATGAGAGGCAGGGGCTCACCAAAGCGGAGATATCAAGGCAGCCTTCCCTGACTGCCCTAGAATGTACCTGTCTAGTCTGTAGGGAGAAGAGGAAATAAGGGGCTATCCAAAGGGATGCAGGACTCTGCTGGGACTCTGTCCACGGCAAAGGAACCCTGCCTGGTGACTCTGATTCCGAGAGCAACTCCAGCATCTTGGCCTCCCTGGCTGGATGTTTAGTTCATCTCCATTCCTTGAATTGCTGTGGAGTCTGAACTCAGCAGCCCAGTGGCCACTCTCTAATTAGCCCACATGAGGCATTAAGATGCAGCCAGCACTGATGGTGGGGCTACCTGGCCATGGCTGCTGCAGTAACAGGTCCCAGCAAGAGTCAGCAAAGCACAGCCCCTCCCCACTTGGACACCTGGGGTGCTCTGGCCCCTTCGGCTCCCTTTAATTGAATGCTTTTGGAGCAGAGAAGGTTGAGGAATCATTTCTCTGGGGTCCAAGGAATTTCTCTCCTCTGCAGGAGTCCTGTTAGTACCTGACCGCTTTTCCTCCCACCGATAAATTCTGCGTGGGACCTTAGGGTTTTATCCTCCACTTCATACAAAGGGCACCCCGGACCAGCTCACTTCTTGGCAGCGCTGGGCAGGGTGGCCGAGGGCATGACTTGCCCTCTGAGCCTGGCCCCTCTTGTTGCAGGAGGCGCATGAAGCGGGTCTGGGACCGGGCAGTGGAGTTCCTGGCCTCCAACGAATCCCGGATCCAGACGGAGTCTCACCGTGTGGCCGGAGAAGATATGCTGGTGTGGAGATGGACTAAGCCCTCTTCCTTCTCCGACTCGGAGCGATAAACCCTGGGCAGGGGCCGGTTCCCAGTCAGCCTGTCCCAGGCCAGTCTCTTCCAGAGACGTGAGAAGGCTACCATCCTGCCGGTGCTGAATTCACACTTGCCTTGACTTTCACCCTCCTCTCGACCCTGGTTCCAAAGGTCTCTCTGTCTGACTTTTCAGAGATGAGCTCAGTATGAAAGTATGGGCTTCCTTAAGGGGCAGAGGGGAGAAGCCAGAGGTCAGGTGGGCAGCTGTCCTCTGCACAGGTCTGATCCTCTCTGCCCCATTTTGCTGGCAGAAAGGGGAGATGGGTTTGTTTTCCATGAAAAGAAAAGGTAAAAGTACAGTGGCCGTGAGACCCTGCAGAGCAAGCGTGTGGTTGGGTGGACAGCAGCTTGTCCACTGCGAGTGAGCGCCCGGCAGCAAGGTGGGCACCATGCCTGTGGGAGGTGGGTTGGGATGGTGGGCTGGGGCAGCAGGGGTTGGGAAGCAGCTTGGTCATGTGCCTTCGGGGGATGTTACTTGGGAGCTGAAGGATGAGGGGAGAAAGCCAGCCCTCTAGCTGAATCGGGCCTCTTATCCAAGAGGGGAAAGGGGCTAGAAATTAGAGCAAGCACTGTAGGACAACTATCTAGAAACGCTGGCTCTGGCGTGGGGGGCCTCAGGTCAGGTGGAGTGAGCAACTGGTGTGGCCTCCTGGGAGGAACCTTGAGTTGACCCAGGGCCAAGAGCAGAGAGGAGGATCAAGGCTGCCGCCAGTCACCAACCTGGCAGTGCCACGGAGGCAGCCTCCCTGGTGGGCCTCTTCACTAGACCGGTGCGGCCACAACACTGCACCCGATCGAGATTCTAGGACCTGGGGAGCCTCGCGCTTCCTGTGGGCGAAGATCATCTGGTTGACAGCGACCGTGGCCTCCCATCCTGGGGCAGTTTAAGGAGAACTTCAGCGTGGTGCACATTAGTGCTGTTCCTGGGCACAGAAGCCACCGCTGCCCCCTGCTGGCCACCGGCCGAGCTTCCTCATGGCCCCCGTGCAGCCCATCCGCCGCTAGGCGGGAGCAGGCTCCAGAAACACCCCGCGGGGGGCCTTATTAGTTAAGTGCGGGGAGCCTCTCCAGCAGACTACATCCTCATATGTTCTCAGACGCGGCAGGCGGGAAAGGGGGCCCGCAGAGGAGATGGAACAGCTGCCTCCAAAAGGCATTAACCCCCCTTTCTGGAATTATTGGTATTTTTTGTTTCCTTAATAAAGCTCCAGTCTCCCTCATTTGAGCAATACACTCTCATTTCCTCTGATGTCTGGGTGAACAGCGGGGCTGGAATCCGAGTGCTGGCCCGGTGGCAAAACAGAAGTCTTCTAATCAGGCTCCAGCCAGAAGAATAAGAAACTGCAGCAGGCTTCAATATCAGGGTTGAAACTGTTGGATAAATAAACTATTAAAAATGGATGGTTCTCATCCGTGGTTCTTTCCCTTTCCCCCAGAGCAATGTGTAAGGAAAGGCAACGTGTGGAGTTACTAAGCACTGGCCCTGGAGAGGTCAGCTGGGAGAGGAGGCAGGAGCAGCCAAGCGGGGGCTTTGGGCCTCAGCCGCTCTGTGACTGGGTCCTAGGGCAAACCACACACTCAGAGCCTCAGTTTCTATGTTTATAACACAGTGTGACCATCCTACCCTTTAGGGTGAACTCACAAGGTGCCTGCTTGGTCCCTGTGGGTGGCAAGGGGTGGGAGCCAATAGACCCTCTTTCCTCCAGCCCCATTTCTGCCTCCCCTTCAGGCCCCGGAGGCCCCTGGATGTGCTCTGTGCCAACCCTGGGATGAAGAGGAAGGAAGAGCCAGGCGAGTTTGGACAGGGCTTCTCGAGAGGTGATGCTGTGTCCTAAGGAGACAGGAAGTTGAAGTTGGCAGCAGACTTGTCTCTGGGCCCCGTCACAGGGGAGAACAGAAGTGTAGCCCGGGGGACACATGGGGGTCCCCCAACTGCAATGGAGGCAGGGGTTTGCTGGGGATGCTTAGGGTGTCCTACGGCTTCCCACCAGCACCTTCTCTACCCCCAGGGCAAGCTGCAGGTGTGGGGGATTGGCACTATATCCTTTGAGATGCCTTCATTTCTCAGCCTGGAATAAAGGCAGCCTCTGAGCTGTGGTCACTCCACACACACACACACACACCCTACCGCTGTCCCTGTCCACACGGGTCCCAGCTGTGGGGCAGCTCCTGTGGTAGCCCGTCAGCCCCATCCTGCTCTTCTCCATTAGCTGGAAATTCGGTAGGTAAACTGGTAGTCAAGGACCCAGAAACAACCCAGAAAAAATGAGCCCATCTTTCCCTTGTCTGGTTTTCAGCAAAAGATTGTCCTGCTGACTTATTTGGTCTTAAGCTTAAGAGGGAGCTAAAGCGGGGCACTGTTTCTGTGGAGCTGTTTGGAGAGCAGGAGTGAGATCAAAATAAGAGAAATAACAAAAGGCTCCTGCCAGCCCCGCCCCTTTCTTTGTGGTACCCGGAGCACTCGGCACAAAGGCCCCCATCCTCAGTGCTGCAGGCATCTCAGCTCCAGGTCTGACGCCTTTCTCAGCTTTGAAGGGCCAACTCCCCCACCCCTTGAAAACACCTCTTATTTCACAAGAAACGGCACAGGGCGGTGGGATTTGCCCGAGGAGGAGGAGGAGGGCTGAGGGCTGAAGGCCTCTCTGGGTGGGGGCCAGTGTTGAGAAGTTTCCGCTGCTTGGCCCAATCTCTTCCACGGCTCCCGGGGCCACAGCCTGTCTTTCCTCAGTGACAAACGGCCCTCTCGGGCTTGGTGGGCTGAGGGAGGGAGAGGTGTACCCCACAAATCTTGGCCGTGGACGTCCACCCAGGAGCTCCAGGCCACCTTCCAGAGCCTGCTCAGGAAAAAGGTAAACATGGCCATTTGTCACTGACTTATCATAAGAACTGCAGTAGCAGCTGTTCCCCCTTAATTAATACACCGTTGACTTTGAGCCTCAAAAAAAAAAATCCTTTTGTTGAGGCAGGTGTGTGGATTTGAATCCATTATCCTGTCAGCCTCCTCCAAAGAGAAGGATCGGGGGAGCGGTTACCCAGTAGATAAACCCAGTTCTTCCCAAACAGCCCTCCTTGGGCAACCAGGCCAGCTTCTGCAACCCCATTTCCAGAGAAAGCTCTGGAGAGAAGAAGAGAATCTGGACAGAGGGTCCCAGGATGTGCCAGGGAAAAGAGAGGCAGAGGGGTGAGTGGGGGGCACCGTGTTTCCTGGAGGTGATGCTGCACCCGAGGGGCAGGGTGGAGGGGGGACCCGGCATCCTCAGGATCAGCTCTGCCCTTGATTGGCAGGGACCTTGGGCTAATCAGCTTATCCCTGTAGCAGGGGAAGCTATTAAGAAAGACATCATAAAACTAGTGAACACATGGTAGTTTTGTGAGGACCCGCCAAATGCTCACAATCAGCGCATTCAGCAGGTTCCGTTGTTACCCCGTCATAGAGGAGAGAAACCAACGGCTGGCAAGGTCAGGAGAACAATGGAGCCGGGGTTTGAACCCAGATAGCCCGGCTCTCTTAAGGAAAGTAAGAGGAAGCCACGCTCAGGTTTGTTGTGCTGCTGGGGGTTTGCCGGAATCAAATAAACCACCTGGTTCCAGAGGAAGAGCCTGGACCTCACAGAGGCTCTGGGAGGCTCCTCTGACCTGCCCCACTGCTCTCCCCCAACCCAGGCCACAAGCTTGCTGCTCTTGCCTCCACTGGGACCCTTCTGCCTTCAAGCCTCTGCACTTGCTGTTCCACCCACTTTGCTGTTCCCCTCCCCCATCCCAACGTGGCTCACTCCCTCCTCCCCTTCAGACTGCCAGCCCTGTAGGGAGTTGTAGCTGCAGCCCCACCCTGCACATCCTCTAGGGCCCAGCCCTCCTTTATTTCTCTCCTAACACCAGACACGCTACATATTTTACTTACTACCCTCAGGTTACCAGCCTGTTTATTACCTGGCTCCCTGAAGGGTCCATCTCCCCTCCCCTGGGAAACACTGGCCACAGAGGGACTCATGCTGGACTATCAGAGCCAGGGTGGGGCTCTCAGGCAGAGAAGCAGAGAGGGAACCAGCTTCCCTGGACTGGAGGGGTTTCTGTTTGTTGGATTTCCTCCTGTGTTCTGATTTCCTCAGAGCCCTGAGGACCTGCCAGCCCACAGCATCCTAGGACAGAAGGAACCCTGATAAAGATGGTCCAGGGGTCAGGCACCCTCGCTTCTGCCAGGCACCAAAGCAGACAAGCCCCCCCCCAGGATTTGTGTAGGACACCAATCAGAGATGCCCTTTGTCCAGAATATGACTTCTCTGCAGCCCTGGTGAGTGGGGGCTTGGAGCAAATTTCACGTGTTTTCTACAGAAGGTGATGAGATGTTTCTGCCAAGAGTATGGGCCAGTCCCTGCCCGAGGCCCCTGTGATGTCACAGACTATCCTCAACATCACAGGGGTGAGGTGAGACTCCAGGCAAACTGAGAAAGTGCTGCCCAGCACAAGGCCAGGATGGGGCTGTCTGGGCCAGGTGGATGGGCAAGAACAGTCCAGAGCAGGGTCTTGGAAACAGGGAAGAGCTGAGCAGGCTCTGAGGAGAAGGGGTAGGAGAGGTACCACTAGTGATTACAGCCCAATTTCTAAGCTGCTTCTGTTTAGTAAGGAAACAGGGGAAAGTACAGTAATTTTCTTCAATGAAAACAGGCGACAGAATTCCCTTTGCCTCGTTCCCCTTGCAATTAAGCCCTTCTCTGCAAATGAAATGATTTGGTTTTCATGGGGACTAATTTAAGCACACTGGAAGGGCCGCTGAACTTCTTGATTGCAAACACCAGCATGTGCAAAACAGAATCCCAAGCAGCAATGCCAGGCTGGTGAGGCAGCCCTGTGTGGAGTTGGGGCTTCGACATGGTTAGGTGGGGTGAGCCCTGGGTTGGGAGTTTAGCTCTGACCCTTTCCCCTCTCCAGCCTCCATTCCTGCATCCCAAATAAGGAGGTTGGACTAGACCCCAGAGGCAAATTCAGAAGCCTCTGACTCACAGGGGACGGCCATGTGCTAGCGATGCCACACAGTCTCCATCACTCCCTCCATCTAAATGGAAGAACATTCCACTCTGGGCTCAGAGCACCAGCATCCAAGTGGTGTTTCTTCTCCCTTGAATCTGGGCTGGCTCTGGGTCTGCTCTGACCAATCGAATGTGGCCACAGAGACACAGGCCAGTTTTGGTCAGAAGCATTGGAGACTCGGTCACTTCCGCTTTCATTCTCTTGGGCTTGGAGCCACCATATAAAGAGGCTCAGCTGCCCTGCTGGAGAGACCTTGTGAGGAGACAGATCCCCACCAGCCCCAGCTGTTCCAGCACTCCAGCTGGCACACCAGCCGTGTGAATGAGGCCAATCATACCAGGCTCGGGTAAGCAGAGAGAAGCATCCCCCATTTAGCCGTGTCCAAATGGCAAAATCGGGAGAACATGCATGATGTTGTCTTAAGCTACCAAGTCTGTGTTATTGTAAGTTCATTTGAAATAGTTTAGGACACAAAAAGATGCAAAAATAGTACAGAGATTTCTCACGTAGCCTTCACCCAGCTCCTCCGATTACCCCCATATAACCGTGGTACATTGTCAAAACCAGGAAACTGACCTTGATACAATGCTATTCACTCAGGCACAGACCTTATTTAGGTCTTACCAGTTTTACATTCACTTTGTGTGTGTATGTGGTTCTATGAAATTTTATCACACAAAACCACTAAGTTTGGGTGATCTGTTACTCATGATAGGTAACAGATACAGGTGTGGACACGAACCGCAGGAGTATGTTACTCAGCATTCTTCAGCGACAGAAACACAACACTCAGACAAACTTCAGCACAAGGTACACACATTGGCTCACATAAGCCAATCCCTGGAGAGGCAGCGGGGGAGTGGGGGGAGGCGGGCCTCCGAGCAGCTCCATCCAGGTGCAGGGCCCAGGTGCAGCCACATGCCCTCAGAGGGCTCCCCACCTGGCTGCCACCACTGTGAGGACATTCAAGGAAAGGAGAGATGGAAAGGGCTCAGCAGGTTTAACAAGAGTCAGGGGCCCACCTCCCAGCCAATCACTGGGTATGGAGCCCGAGGCTACTCCTAACTGAACCTGGGTCAGCGTGCATCTCCTGAAGGTAGGAGGTAGGAGGAGGGCCTCTCAAAGCAAGGGGTGGAGCATTGAGACCAGAAGAGGAGAGAAAAGAAGGGCCCTGCAGAGCCAGATTGTGAGCCAAATCCTGGGCACGCAGACCACAGGGAGGGAAGTGTAACAGCAGTCCACTCTGGACTCAGAAAACCAGCATCCAAGTGTTATGGTGGGACCGGGTGGCTCTGAGGGACAAGAACATCTGGTATGCAGAGGAATCATTGAGGCCATTTGCCAAAATTACTGCCACAAGGAAAGATCACACT